TGGAAGTTTAGACTTTCTACTGTTTCGGTCCACTTTTGTCTTCTAGCGGCGTCTAGGCTGTACAGTAGTTCATCCGTTATTTCTTGGTCGCCAGTTTCAAGAAAGCTCTGATATAGTTCCTCGCTATTTTCCGACCAGCCAGGAACATATTCTTTGCGATATCCTCTTGGTATGTGTTTTTTGGCTACACTTAGCACGGCACCAACAAATCTGTGGTAGTTTTTGATATTCGGTGTAATCCACCCTAGACATTTATCTAGATCCACAGAGAAGTCAATCCAGTTGGCCTTTTTAAAATTCCATCTTGGACGTGGGATAGAACTAATTAAAGGGATTTGCGTCCCTACTTCTATTATTACTGGTCGATGTTGGCTGTGTGGGAAATCAGTTAGAACTGTTCGTGAAGCCCCTAAAGGTAAGTCTTTGTTATCGGTCGAGACAAAGCATAGGTCGGGGTTGTATTCCCACCTCCATGCCGCAGATCTGAAGGTTGGTCGATCTTTGGCATCAAACAAAAGGTATAGGCGTTCGTCTTCTGCCCATTTTATTAAAGCATTCCCATTTGCATCGCTATTTTTGTACTTCCACTGTTCATGATGGCTATTGTAATCTCCAACATATACAGCAGGGTGAGGCTGTACTGGAATTGCTTGGACTGGCCAATAAGTAGCAGGTGGCTTGTAAATGTTGGACACGGTAATGCTAGCGATTTTTGTGACCACATTATAAATACAGTCATCAGTGGAAGTAGAGATTAGCGAAGCATTTTCAATATCTTCTTTGACATATGTAGCTGTGCCATATGTTCGGTGGTAAGTTGCGCCTAATAGTTCATATCCCGGGATTTTGCCCCTTTTTTGTAGTTGCTCCTCTGTTTCGCAGTGGGTTTCCTGTATAGCAACTAAGTCAATGTTGTCATCTTTTAATAGTTTTGATAAAAACTGGCTTTTAGCATAGCTTATGCCTTCTATGTTTATGTGGCAAATTCGAACTATAGGTCCGATTGGTCTAGTTGTGCGGTCCTCACAAGGGCCGTTTATTTTGTTTATCATCTTTCGTTGGAAGTGTTGTTTGGTCAGGAGATCCTAAGGATTGTCTGACTGCCAGTATGTGCTAAAGTGCCAAGTAAAATAAAAATGTACCTTATAACATTTAAATAGGTAACATGAGGTAGATAATCAAATACCTTTACTATTAAAAACTTGTTTTCTAGCTTTTACCAAAGCGAAGTTTTCGATGATATCATTTATATTTAATTCATTTAGCAGGTCCTCGTTAATGGATAAAACTGCTAAGAAGTTCAACTTCTCTTGGGAAATTGTATTTGGGTAATTCCAGCAATAATCGACACAAATCGGTGGGGTCACCCTCTCCGATTTGGCTTAAAATTTACACACATGTTGTACTAGACAAAAAAAAATAATAAAAAATAAGTTTTTTTTTCAATAAATAAAGGCTTAACACAGGCACCCTAAGAAGAAGATATCTCAAATGCTTGTTTATTATTTTTTGTAAGACATTTTCTTTGAAAATTAAATCTTTTCGGATCCTTTTTTGTTGCAGCGATAAATCAAAGAGTTTTATTTGCATATTGGTAAAAATGTATCTTTAACTTTGATAATATCCTACAAATGAGTAAAAAAATACTGTTCTGTTTCCTAAAAATAGTATTACAAAACTCACATACGAAGCATATCTATTATTGTGTTATTTAGCAATGCTTTTTATATTTTTTATTGCAATTTATAATATTATTCAGAGAAACTGCTGTTACAATAATTTAACAGTTTGTGTATTCATCAAAATAACTCAAATAACCTCATTCTTAAAAATTAGTAGTTGTTGTAGTGTTTTTACTATGTAGAATATATTTAAATACATTTCTTGACTTGACAGTTGTAGAGAAATTTCTTTAGTGATTTATAATTAATATTCTACTCTAAAACGTTTAAATACAACCTTTTTGAATGTCGTAGCTTGTGTAAAATATCTCTACTAGAATCTGTTCATAGAGCTCATACTGCGATTTCATATTGACATCAAATCTGATTTTAGGTTTAGAAAATAATATATATGTTAAACCTAGAGCTAACAGAAATGGAATGTTCATAAATTCTATTTTGGATTCTACAATTTGTTTGGCCTATATAGGATCGAAGGCAGTCTGCACAAGGAATTTCATAAACTCCGTGAAATTCATTTTGAATGTTGTCTTTGATTGATCAGACAAGAGATAAAAGTTTTTGTTGGGGGATCAATATTGTCTTTATTTCTATTCATTTAAGAATTTTGTCGATTTTGTCAGTAACGCCATTGATGTAAGGAAGAAAAGCTTTCGTATATTGAGGGTCTGAGTCTTTGGGTTGAGATTGAGTGGGAGACTGATGTTTATTCATGTGATTTTCCCGTTATCGGTTTTCAATGAGGGCTTATTTTAAACTAGAGAGCTCAACAAGTCTACTTGCATCATTGTAAAAGCGTATTGATCTGGGTAGATCAATACACCAAGGGTATTAATGACTGAATTAATTTGTGGAGGTGGATAATGAGAGTTGGCATGCAAGTAACGATTGGCATGGGTGGGTTTTCGATAAAAAGAGTGATGGAAACTTTGTGATTAGTTTTTTTTGATAACGTCGAGAAACGGTAGGGTTGAATCAGTTTCCACCTCCATCGTGACTAGATACTAGGGTGTATACCATTCAGATGGGTTTTAAAAGACACAAAAACATTCCTGCCATGGGCCCAAATGACGAATGTATCGTCAACATATCGTAGCCAACATGTGGGTTTGAGCATTGATGTGGATAGTGCTTGGGTCTCGAAGTATTCCATAAAGATATTGTCAGTTACTGGAGATAGTGGGGAGCTCATTGGGGCACCATATATTTGTCTGTAGAATTACAGTGTCCAGCAATACCACTCATTCCTCATTAAAAATTGTATGTCCAACACCCATTTCATCGGCAAAGAGGGAATAAACAACATCAACTCTGAGGAAATTATCTTGCTTATTAAGTGTTCAGAATATAATTAAGTAAATTACCAACGCACTTTTCCGACAGAAAAACAAATTCAAAATATATTGGCAACTGGATTATGTAATTGTTTAATTAAAATTAAATTAAATTATAAGAAATATTGAAATTGACGACCTCCAAAATGAGAAATAAAATGAGAAAGATGGGCAGAGTTATTTGTGTAATTTGCATTATGATGCACTTCTGCAGCTGTTCTACGTTATTTGATCGACTTTAATATACTTTGTTCTTCAAATATTTCCATGATGGAGTCAAATCTGAAGACCTTGGTGACAATTCGATAGATCCCCTTCCTTCTATCCTCCTACCTGCGACAAGGTTAAGTAATTTTATACCTTAACGCCATAGTGTTGGGGAGCGTTATTCTTTATTCATTTATAAATAGCTGATTTAGCTGTGGCATCAGATAATCCTGAAGATATTCCACAAAACGAGCAGCATTTGACACTTCCTCAAAAAATATGGCAGTATAATATGATTGTTTATAATGTCTGGTCAAACATTGGTCTTCACAGTGTATTGAGTCCTATATTATTTTATCCAATGTGGATTTTTACTTGCTCGGTATCGATATATCTGGTGATTTACATGATCGTTGAACTTAAAAGCCGCTTCATCTGCAAAACGTACCTTTTCTATAAAACTCTGATTATTCCATAATAGTTTCACAGAATTCGATTCTTCAATCGAAGTCATCTTCTAACAGTTCCTGGACCAAATGTACTTTGTACGGATGTCACTTCACCTTTTTTAACACTGTAACGACAGTTGTCTGGTGAGCATTATTATCTAGTGCTACCTGCCTCCAACTGGTATGGGGATTTTTCTAAAAATGCCAGTACAACGTCAAGTTTTTGGGCTTCGGGTATTGATTTTCCAACACTTATGGGAAGATCTTTAACATGGTCCGTTTCTTAATTATTCAGTCCTCACTCTGTCTCCACAACCAATTTTAATTAAAATCTCGATTCGTTCTGTTTCTATAAGTTTCATTTTATTAATGCTGCTATAATGTCGGCAAAAAACCAGAACAGTAAAAATTTGGTGTCTGTTAGTTGAAAGATTTATATATTATTGACAATACCGATCAGCCAATGATAATACTGATTAAAATAAAATAATTTTGTGAAAATAATTTTTATAAAAATAATTAATTTGTAGGAATGGTATCAATCAATGTATTTCTGTTTTTTAGACCCAGAAAAAATATAACTTTGGTTTACTCGCAGTGTCAGTTCTTAGTGTAATTTAGTTCAGGGAATGAGTAATTACTGTCATTCAATTTTACTTAACTAAGTTTATCATTAAGGTTAAACCTGTAGAAATAAATATTTGAATGATCCATCGTTACACAGATGATTAGGGAACATTTCAAATGAGATGACCTGTCACCTCGGTTTGTAGAATGTAATGTCCAACACATATAGCAATTGACGGCCATTCAAAAATTCAATTTTTTAAGTCGTTTGTTTCTAAAATAATAAATTTATTCCATAGATTTGCATCTTACTGTATAATACGATTATTAACTTTCGTCTTAAAAAGCAACACTGTAATAATTTTCCTATTTTAAGTTTACTATATCCAATAGGTGATTGATCTAACACAGTCTTTTCTTTGTTGCTTTAGTAAACAATGTCATTTTGAAACTCGTTCCTTTGAAAACTCCCGATAATTTATTCGCCAAAGAGTCGCCATTGATGTTCACTCCAGGATCTGTATTATCCAAGTCAATATAATTTTTGGTTCACTCTTTGGTGTACTTTCTAGTTGTTTTTTAATTACTTTCATCGAAATTCCTTTTTCGATAAACCCAGAACATATAGAAAAGAAAACGTAGTAAAAATAATGTAGATTTAAAATAGCTGCTCATATAACAGTAATGTAGTGTTGAGCTGCACGAAATCGTATCAATTAATAGCATGGTAACTCTTAGTAAAAGCTTCCTTTTCCTTACAGGCGGGACTTGGCAGATAGGTCGACCGACATGTGTTTTGGAATCAGATTTTGGATTTACCCTCAACTGTGGTTTTAAGAAATCTGGGCTGTTTCGAGTTAGAAATCTTGGTGGCGTGAAAGCTCACATAGGCCTGGGTAAATTCTATCTTCCTTTTCTCTATTACATTTCTTCGAAATCCTATGTACAAAAAAGCTTAATTTTTCCTTAAATTTTTGTTTCAAATAGCTTTTGTCTACGTAGCATTTCGAAGAAATATATTCTTTTTCTTTGTAGTGTATATAGTAATTAGTTTTTGCTAACATTTTTACAGCTTTACCAAAAAACGTATTTAAATTTAGCTTTTTAGATTTATGTATATTATTTTTTACGCCCTAAATGTATGTAGTTTTATAAGATAATTTACTTAAAACAAGGTACATTTCTTTTAAATTATAGAATGGCATTGCAGGCAAAGTATATTGTACCATCGACACAGAAGGGGAAGGAGTAGACAAATAAAAATGAATATAGTATTTGTAGATACCTTATAATCTAATGTAATCTAATGTAATATACCTCAAAAAAATCCACATCGCGATATACACAAATACAAGAAGATACAAAAGACCAGAAATCTGAAATCTATAATAGATTATAGCATTGTAAGACAGAGAACTACAATTAAAATACAAGATGTGCGAGTAGCCAGAGGGCATCATGTGGCACCGATCATCATCTGCTAAAAGTTAAAACAGTACTCCCAAACAGATACGAAAAAAAAAGAGCACATCTAGTCAAATCAGTTTATAAAACAAGTACAGTACAACCTAGACAGTTTAAACCATGAGAGTGTAAAGATACTGTACCTATAAAAAACGATTAGACCAAAAATTGGAAATGAGTAGTTTTCAAAATACCGAAGAACACTACTAAAACATCAAAACGTCGATTCATTTAGCAGCAGAAGAAGCACTGGGGAAATATGACGAAAACCATAAAGGAATACAACCGTTCTGGTGGGATGAAGAAATAGATAAGGAAATTAGAGATAAACTTCAAAAATACCAAACATTCTTAACAAAAAAAAAACAGAAAACGATAAAACGATTTACAAAGAAGCACAAGCCAAAGTAAGAAAAAATATAACTCAAAAAAAGAACGAATCATGGGAACAGAACTGCCAAAAGATCAACACCTACATAGGAGGTAGAAGAAGCACAAAGACTTGGAGATTAAGTAAAAGTATGAGAAATAATAAGAAAAAAGACGTTATATTACCAATAACAACAGAAAAATGGGAAGAATATTTCAAAAAATTACCAACAGAACAAAGACCAGAATTTACTAACATGGAAGACAACACGATAGGTATACATGTAATTACGTTATACGTGTCACCATTACAAATAAGAAAATCAGAGATGAAAGAAATAACCAAATCCCTGAAAAATGGAAAATCCTCTGGTCCTGGTGACATCCCTCCAGAATTAGTGAAAGCCGGTACAGACAAACTCCAAGAACAGTTAAGAAAACTCTTTTAAGACGTCTTGAATGGGGCCGAATTACCAAAAGAATGGAAATTATCTATCATGTCAACTATTGCGGTAAAAAGCACAATAAGTAGGATGTATGGGAAACTGACTATAGAGAAAACGAAGCAGAGGAGCAAGCTAGTTTTATAGCTGGGCGATCCACAGTAGACCACTTGTTCACTATTACGCAAGTTATTGAGAAAAAAACAGCTGTCAGTAAAGAAGTTCACCTGGTGTATCTAGACTTACAAAAAGCATATGACAGTGTATCCCTCAGTAAACTATGGCAGCCCTACAGCAAACTAACATTAAGCATGGTCTTATCAAAGCAATCCAAAGTCTGTATAATAGAACGACTGCAAAAATTAAAACTGGATCAAGGATATTTGAGGGATTTTAGGTCACGAAAGGACTAAAGCAGGGTTGCTGTATTTCGCCTATCCTTTTCAAAATTTATCTGGAACAAGCACTCAAACTGTGGAAAAGAAAATGTAATGGCATGGGAATCCCTCTCAATGATGAGACTACACTGTACACCTTATGTTTCGCTAATGACCAAATACTGATTGCTCAGGATCATGAAGACTTGAGTTACATGACTTGGAAGCTAATAGAAGAATATAACAAATGGAGTCTCGAAGTCAACATTAAGAAAACTGAAGCCATGTGTATTGGAGGGACAAAGCAGTCCATTATAATTAGACGATGGGGTAGAGATTAGACACTGTGATAAATACAAGTACCTGGGTATGAAGATAACTCAAGATGGAACACTCGATGCTGCTATAAAAGACAGAAACATACAGGGTAGAACAGCCATATCCATGATGAACGGTATTGTGTGGGACCAAACAATATCTAAAGCGCACAAAGACCTCATATACAACACCATACTTAAAAGTGTAATCGCATATGGCAGAGAAGTTTGGCCAATGAATCAAAGTACAGAGAAACTGTTACTAGCAACAGAAGTGGGCTTCTAGAGAAGAGCAGCAGGCAAATCAAGAAGAGATCAGATACCAAATGAGAGAATACGAGAAATGATTGGAGTCAAGCATGCTATAGTTGATGACATAAAAACAAAACAGTTAATATGATACGGCCATGTACTGAGAATGCCAGATGACAGGATTCCGAAACAAATTTTAATGTGGACACCATAAGGAAGAAGAAAAAGAGGAAGGCCGAGAAGAAGCTGGAGAGAAGGAATTGAAAAAGAAGTAGAGGTAAGATAAATCCCTCAGGCCTATGGTTAAATAGAGAAGAATGGCGGTTAGAAGTCGGAAGGCGTCGGAGAACGCTGTAAACCGATAGTAGTAGTGGTATTAGATACCTTATAATATAGGGTATATTCTCGATTGTAGCTCTAGGAGCACCAAATCTTAGTATGAACAGCAACGTCGTTGTCAAATTAGCAGATTCGATACCAAAACATCAACATTACAAGTTGTTTTTTGACAATTGGTTCACCAGCATATCTCTTATAATATATCTGACCAAAGGGAGCATTTTAACTTTGGGAACAGTAAGACTTAATCGTGTTCCTGGAGTTGTGATGCCAGCTGAGAAAGAAATTAAGAAGCGCGACAGAGGTAGTGAAAATACCCAATATAGACCAAAGGGAGAAAAAAGAAGATTTTTCAAACAAGAAAGTATACATAAAATGATACCTTGTCCTAACAGTGTCCTAATCTACAACAACTACGTGGGAAGTGTAGATCTCCTTGATTCCATGTTAGGATTTTATAGTATAAAAATTAGGTCGAAGAAATATTATTTACGAATATTTTTTCATTTCATTGACATAACAGCCGTGAACTGTTTGTTATTAGCTAAATGAGCGAAGACATTTGATTTACCCCTTTTGGATACCAAACTAGCAATATCCGTTGCTCTTTGTAAAGTCAGAAAACCAATTATTCAGCAGATAGGTATACGAAAACAAATGAAAAAAGGGACCGACTAAAGAAATATCCCAAGACGACCTCGGTAACGATGGGCATGATCATTTTCCCTATTGGGATGAGAGCACTAGGTCAAGACGCAAATGTGCAGGCTATACAGAGAAAACATATATTATGTAGTGTGCACAAAATACACAATACCGTTGTGTATTAATAAAGAAGGAAACTGTTATTTGCAGTTTCATACTGTATAGTGTATACTGTAGCTTCAAAATAGTTTAATATTACATTGTTGAATGATGTTCCATATTTGGCAGTTTTCCTCGCAGCTTGATTTTTTTCAATATTTTTATATAAAAATAGAATTAAACAACAAAAAACAAAAATTCATGCGGTACAGGGTTAAACATCTCAAGTAAGAGTGTGTGATTGATATTGTACAAATAGATGGATCGATAGTCTAATCCTTCTCTTGCGATTATATAAAACCTCGTGTTATTTTCGTCATTAAGAATATTTATATTATAACCTTTATTTGTTATATTTTTTGACTTAGAGTAACGGTTGTTCTATTTTTTGACTAAACTGCTTTAAACCTGATTTAAACCACAGATTTGTCCAAGATTTTATAAAACGCTTCTAATTTAAATAATATTGTCTGTATGTCTAAATAGAAAATTGACCACAAGAACTATAAAGAAAGAATATTTGACGAAAGTATTTCTGTAAATAAATTTGGGATTTTTCAAATTATAATGATCTGTAAGAAACCAATATTTATAAAAGTCCACAAGTTAACCTGATTTTATTTTGATATTACACCTACCTTATCTTTATTTCATTTCGTATTAATATTACTAATCAACTATTTTTAGAATTCTAATGGAATTGTTGTAAGGCACAATTAAAGATAGATGATGCCATGTTAGTGGTCGAAGTATATTTTAAATAACTTTTATCTATTTATCTAAAGAGCCCCAAACAAAAGATAATGCCCATAACTTTGGATATATATATATATATATATATATATATATATATATATATATATATATATATATATATATCCAAAGTTATGGGCATCATCTTTTGTTTCTTTTTGCTTCTAGCCACTTTTTTTGTCGTAGTCCTGTTCTCTTCTTTCCTTCCTCTCTCAGCAGCGGGTCCTTCGCCCACCTTCCATCTGCCATTCTCGCAAGATAGCCTAACCATCTAAGTCTTTTTGTTCTAATGATCTGGCTATTTTCTGGTTTTCCGTACAGTTCACCGATCTTTGCATTTACTCGTATTCTGCAAACGTCTTCATAGTCTTCTACTCTCCCAAATACTTTTCTTAAAATACTCCGTTCTCAGATGTTTAGCATATTTTCTCGAGTTTTGTTCATAACTTATTTTTCTCTTCTGTACAGGACCGTGAGATGGATGGTATAATCTTAATTTTGCCTGTCTGTGCATATTTTTTCCTTCCTAACAAAATCCGCTTCTTATCTTCTTGGCTTTTTTCCTCTTTACTGTTCGGGTGTCTATATATATATATGGAGGTCTCCTCAAAATTGCGAGGGAAATATTGTAAGGAAACAAATCGAGTACATTACAATTAACAAAAGGTTCCGTAATGGTATTCTAAATGTAAAAACGTACCCAAGCTGTGACGTAAATTGAGACCACAATTCTGTAGTCGCAACTATCCGATTAAAACTTAAAAAAATAGACAAGGCT